TTGCATGTAGGGTTGTGTCTAGACTACAGGGTTTTGTCGACAAAGCAGCTTGCTTTGTCAACAGAACTGAATGTAGTCTAGACGCTCTTTGTCGACAGAAGCTTTGTCGACAGTATCTGTCGACAAAACTTCTGTCGACAAAACCCTGTAGTCTAGACGTACCCCCAGAGTCCAGGTCTTAGAACCAGTTTCCAGTTTTGCAACATTGCATACAAAAATTGTTTTCTGGATTTTCTATGACTCTGGCCTAACATTTGCTACTTCCACATTTCTGCCAATAACATACGTACATATGGAAAGCAAGTACAAAAGGGGCATGAACATGCCCCATCACGTCAGTATTTTATTCAAGCCAATCTCTACAGAAACTGTGTAAACAACTGGTATTTGCCTACTTCCAGATTAATTACTTTGATGAAACTGTCACATGAAGTAAACTGTATAAGTGGTAACTACATGAGTCTCAGAGAATGTATTTTTGTGGCTTAATGTCAGTGACATCTTCACTAGTCTAACTAAATCTTTGTACAGATTAGTCAGACTCATGGAAAACCACATATTAGTTGAGGTGAAGCTGTGTTGACGGCAGTTGTCTAACCGTGTCAATCTGAACAATAAATGAATATAATTTGAAAGAGCTAAATGGCGGCGTTATAATAAAAAGCTGAGATATTGCCAAGGTAATAAAAATTAATGAGTAATTGCACCAAGTAGCAGGTTGAACACCCTACCCAAATTCTGAATCTTGACTCAGAAGTCAGTGAGCAGAATGATCCATCTTTCTGCCTCAAATGATAAAACAGCTCTCTCAGATGCTAATGCAGCACCATCTGGCACAAACACAGAGGAGGCTGAGAACTTCTGGAAGTAAAGCACAAAAGCCATTTTGTTGCCTTTGGAATTGTCCAAGATACTTAAAAAAAACCAACCAAACAAAAAAAATGCTTCAAACTAAGGAACCAAAGTGTCAAACTAAGGAACCAAAGTGTTGGAGAGGGGGAGTAATGCAGGGGGTGTTGTTTTGTTTCAATCCCATGCTTGAAAATATGCACCATTGAATCTACCCCCTTTTTAGTGACACTCACATGGCTAATCTTGCCAATAAAGTGTAATTATAATTGAACTGAATTGTTTGGGTATGGTTGTAGAGTTGAGGTGGTGTGGAGGGTAAGTCAATCAGAATAAAAAAACAGGCCAGGTTTTAGCACCCTCCTAAACTGCATCTTTTAATGAGAATTTCAGGACACTGGAATACATTTTCCGTCTCAGCTCATGGAGATTTTCTTATGCGGCTACTTATATAAGCCATAAATAAAAACTACCCAGTTAAGCTCTGGTTAGTCACATTTCTCTTTTTAGAAAAATTCATACCAGTAGTAACCAATATCACCATTTTGTGGATCACTGACTGAACAGCAGCTCCATTTGATGGTCTCATGGCTTTATGTGTAATTAAACAGAACACTCTGCAAGCAATGCTGGTTCCAATCACAGGCTGCAAAACTCTTTGCTGAAGGCACTATACAATACATACCATACTGAGTCATTAATCTGAGCTATTTGCTGTATAGATAGTAAAGGACTTTGCAAACTAGCTCACTTTAGTCTGGTCTAGGTAATGTTAGCAAACTCTGGATTCATTACATCCTTGCTCTCTGAAAGTGATTTTTAGCACTGACTGTTTTCTAAATGAACCTTAAGATACACCCCCTTCTTCTTCATCATCTTCACCTGAGGCAATAATATCTGGTAACATTGATCTATTTGCTGCTAGTTTTCATTATTTTTTACCCAGCCCTGAGGGTGGTGCTGCCTTTAGCGGCAGCTAATTAAAACCTATTTAGGGCTGCTCAGTGCACTTTATCAGACCAGAATTGGCTCTGCTGCTTTAATGGAGACTACGGTTTTCTCCATTATTACCAATTAAGTGAAGTTTATAAGGTTTTCCTTTACGTTTCCAAAGTACAGGGAAAGTTGTAACTGTCTTTATAAGTACTCACCTGGATTCAAATAAATAGAAAGATGTAAAATATAGCTATTGGCTGGCATCTCTTCAAATATGCTTCAATTCTTATTTCATCTGACTTTACTGCTCTTTCTGATACTATGTATGTATAGAGAGAAACTGCCAGATTTATAGCACTTACAGAGGGTAATGCCACTAAAGTACAGGCAGTCCCCGGGTTACGTACAAGATAGGGACTATAGGTTTATTCCCGGAGCAAAGCCTTGGAGGCGCAGGACCCTGCCGCCTCTGCGGCTTTGCTCCGGGTCTCCCTGGTCTGCTGTGGGAGGGGCGCAGCTAGTGCGCCCCCCTCTCCCCCAGCAGACCAGGCTTTTGTTGTGGATGCCTGGGGTAGAGCAGCTGGGGTGCTGCCTGGTTGATCCTGGGGGGACCTATCCGGCAGCGCCCCAGCTGTTCTGTCCCAGGCTCCAGATTCAGCCCCTGTTGCAAACCCCGGAGGATGCGGTGGCGGGACCACTGCGTGTCTGGGTGGTTCCGCCGCCCGCGAGTTCCAGGGCGAGAAAAGCCCCGTTCGTAAGTGTGGATCCGACATAAGTCGGATCCGCGTAACTCGGGGACTGCCTGTATATTAATGCAAAAGTAGGAACGTCTGCCAAGGTGTATTATTTATGCACAGCAGTTATTCAAAGTGTATGAGAATTCACACCACCCCAAATTCACAATTCTCTGTATCAAGACCAATCACCAGGTCCAGGAAGCCCATTTCAAGAAGATACTCCACTCCCCCTATAAACAAATATCACTTCATTTTGCAATTGGGAAGGCTGTTGGCTATTAATCCATAATGGGGTCTGGCCTTGTCTCTTCCACTTGACCAACAATCATTGAATTATAAATAGATACATTATGGGCTCAATCTCATACCTATTGAATTCAACAGCAAAGCTCTCATAAGCTCTGCTCTTGCACCACGGATGTCAATTTGCCTATAAATGGCTGCCACATACGCCTGTTGGCTACTTTTCATGACAATGAGAGCAGAATGTGAGCATCACTATGATGAGAATATTTAAAGTCCCATTACTTTCCTAAAGAGATGTTACGCCATCCAATAGAAATCTCATTAAAAGTTTAAACTAGAAATCTGTTGTGAACTTATAGGCACTGGAAATGTACACCATACTTAAGGGCAGTATTTTAAGATTAAACTCAAAATACATCTAGTTAGAATGCACACTGTATATTTTTTAAGTTGATCAGAACTTGGTTTCCCTCCAAATTTCTTATTTGAACCATGATAACAACAGAGTACTATTTAAAACTAACATTGGAAGAAAGCACTGATATTTCTCCTAGGAACTGAGGTACCTGAAAGAGTGCATCAACATCATAATAGTCTGGCATGATGCATGAATCCATTCATTTATCTCATCCAGAGAGCTCTGTTGCTATTTGCTGCTTCAATAAGCAGACTAGATCCCAAATAGCCTCCCTCATCATACCAAGACCCTGAATGAAGTAGCACAACAAAACATGCATTGAGGCTTTTTACTGATGGTGCACGTCAGTAGTTCACAAATTCTGGTTTGCAGACCACCAGTGGCTTGTCTTGGAGTACAAGGATGCCCAGCTGGTTACATGATACTTGCTTTCCTTGTTTACCCCCAGCAAATCACATTAAAGGCAGCTAATGATGCATATAATAGTTTTACATGGAAAAGTAATAATAGGAGAAACAACTGGTTGCTCAAAGGATGTTATTTGATTGTGTGTGTGGTGGGAGGGAGAGGAAGTTGAGGTTAAAGGACGAAAGAAACATTTTTCCTAGCACTCTTGTCCACAGATGGGAAGGGATAGGTCAGGGCTACTCAACACACTGCCCACGGGCTGCAACTGGCCCATGGCCCATTTTTTTTGCAGCCCTCGGTGAAGTTTGGGTTTACGCGGGGCTCAACATGCGGCCCATGGGTGGGATCCTTTGAACAAGGCCTCCACTGGGACCATGCTCCACAATGGCAAGGCGTCTCCCAAGTGGGGTGAGCACTGAAAGACACAAGCAGATGGATTGGCTGGCACAGACCAGGACAGGGTGTCAGCGTTTTTAGCCCCCATGGAGGAGGTGCCGGGAGTGCCAGAGCATTGTGGGAAGTGCTTTGAATTCATGCCTGTCAATGCGAATGAACCTATTTGCATACATTTGCATATATATTTGTATGTATATGCAACCACACTTAAGCGGCAGTCCTCAGCATGTGCTGTGAGTATCATTGTGGCCCCCAGGGCTTCCAAAGTTGAGTAGCCCTGGGATAGATACTGGCAGATTCTCCAGCCCCATTCTTCCCTCAGCCCTCTCTAGCCACAGCCCCACACTGCTGTAAAATGGCCCTTGTAAAGTTCACTCTATACCGTACAGAGGCCCTGCACTGATAGTCCCTCAAGCATATCGCAACCATTTTGGAGCAGCATAACCACCCATATGGTTTTTCACAAGCCAGGGGCATGTAACTTTGGTCTAAGTCTACTAGAAACGCCAGCCAACTGGTGATATGACTGGTCATCTATTTTAGCTGAAATGGAATTATTTGGATTTGACGTAAAGCTACAGCCTATCTTGACAAGAGAGGTAAATACAAGCCCCTCGCACCGTCCCCCCATCCTGGGGCTGTGTGTGTGTGTGTGTGTGTGTGTGTGTGTAGGAGAGTTGTTGTGTAGGTCTCTCTTCTTTGAATAACATGTCAATTTAATCAATATTAAATTGAGCTGAAAACACCACACAGCTCTGAAAAGGCTTTAGGAAGGTATCCAATGTTTTTTGGGATCCAGGCCAACAACAATGGAAAGAACAGAAGGCAGCGTAGGTGGGATAAATGGGGCCTGGCTGCTGCCTCATCAAGTGCTCATAACAGTCAAAAACATATAAGAATGCATTAAAAACATATCTGGGGGCTCACTGTATAGCTGGCATGCAGGATGGCCTTCTCTCGCCTCTCATTGGTGATTAGCATCAGAGTGGCTCTTCACAGGCAGGACTTACCGATCTTTTCCTGTCTCCTCCTTAAATACTCCATCACAGTAACTCATGCGCTTTTCTGTTGTCACATAAATTTTAGCTTCAGGGTAGCTGTCCACAGTTTTCTTCAGCATGTTGTACACGATGCCATTGCCATCTTTCCTCATGTTTCGAAATGGCCCCCAGATGACATAAATTGTGCTGTTGGCTTCCTTGAAAAAATACTCGGGATTCTTGAGCAAAAGGGGAACACTGGTGTGAGAAACTACTCGTATGGTGGTCTTCTTCCCAACATCTTCCTCATAACCCTTGGTAGGAGCATTGTTCATTCTCCATACACAGGAGGACTGGTCAATCTCAATTCCCACTTTCTGGCCAGCCATCTGACCTGAGTTTGAAACAATGGCACAGAGGTCACAGTCAAGCTGGAGAGGCTGAAAGAGAGAACAAAACAGATGACAGGTCCTTACACACTCAGCCAGAACATTGAGTTAAAAAAAAGTAAGTAGTCCAACAATGTGGGAGCAAGAGCTCTCTCAAAGCACATCAATTCCCATGTAAAATAATGAGCAGGCAGTAAAGTCTATTCCTACTAAGCCTGAATGAGATTCTTTTCTACCAAAAGAATCACATACTAATCTTCTGTTCTCATTTCAAAATCAACCAGAAAGGAATCCCCTGTCTTCCACTTTTCCTTTCCACCTTAAAAAAATTTGAAATAAAAAATCCCACGTAATTAATAGTTAGATGGATGTTTTGTTCCCTTGTGAGAGATTGTTGTCAATAGTAGATTTAAGAACAGAGAAAAAATGAAGCAAATGTGGCTGTGCACTGATTGCATATTTCATCCATAGGTCTCGATGAGCAGATGTTTAATCTGTGATAAAAGTCAGCTATGAAGCTGCTTGCTAGCAGGCATTCTACTGTAGCTTGAGCCTATGAACATATGTGAAAGCCAGCCTTTACCATTATAAAACAGCTCCTTATGTCTGGAGCATATTATTGTACGTGTACAGATCCTCTTCAGATGGAAGAGCCAATGAGACACAAATGGACTGGGGACTTTGAACTAGGGGATTGATCCTATGCCTACTGAAGTCAATGACAAAATTTCCATTTACATCAATAGTGCAGGATCAGCCTCCAAACCAGGAACATCTTCTAATGCTGGCTCTGACAGACTCTCTTTGTGAACACAATCACATTCTGATTTTCTGCATGAAATGGGAATAGCAATAGTTCCCTGACTCATAGGAGCATTGGGGAGAATTAACCTGTTCCACATACTGTTTGCCCGATTCATGTGAGCTAACCCGCTCAATACCCAGGAAGAGTAGGATTGAGCCCTAAGTAATTAGAAGCAGCTAGAAGATTCCGCCTCTCCCCCAAAAAAGCATTAGATGTAATTTGGGTGTGTGATAAGGGAGTCTAGAATCCTAAATCCATCTGAAAACAGATCAGTTCTACAAGAATCAGCTGGGCGGATCTGGGCTGATGTCCATCCCTTTTCCATCCCACAGCCCAGGTTAGGGATCCTCTCCAATTTTACCTTTGATCAGTAACCTGATCTCTTTTTTTCTGTTCCCGCTTTGCAGCCAAATGTCTCCATTTGCCTTCTTTCACCAGTGAGTGTTGTGCAGTCACCCTTACAGCACACTACCTGCCCCTCGTTGCTAAAAGATGGCTAAGAGCAGAGTGTGAGCCCTTCATTTCACTGATGTGAATTTGTGTCCCAGTCACATTTGACAACTGTAGACTCGGAAAGAAACCAACCAAGACATCACAGTCTGTTCTGTAACAACAGACTAATGCCACAGCTGTGAGAACTGTGAGGTCAGAAGTTAACAAACAGGGCATAAGGGGGCCAAATGATAACAGCAGCAATGCCTCATATTTGTAACAGATATGTAACTGAACAAAGGTTCTACCCACCCGGCCCCTGAAGTAACTTTAAACATAGATATAAAGGCTTGTGATGCTGTGATTCTTGTGCTCTTGCTGTTTTATAAAATGTCTTTTCCTCATTT